GTGGGTTCTAAATTTTCTATGTGGATAACATCTACAAATAATGAATATTATTTTTTATTTCCTGATGCCAATACCTTAGTCATATTTTTTGTCTTGTATTAACTAAGACTTTCTTATCGTCTAATTGTTTGTAGTTTTAAAAGAAAGCAAAGAGCCCAGCAAAGTTGGCTGGAGCATCGTCCCACACACCACAGCGTGGTACCTCAGTTGTGGAACCGATCCTCAGTAGGACGCATACAGGGAAACATCGATTTATGTTTCTCTCTCAAATCGGTGTTCCTCTCTCTCCTTTCCTCTCTCTGTCTAAAAGATCAATGAGTATATCCTTAGGTGAGGATTAAAAATAATAATAAAATGAATTAAAAAAATAAGAAAACAAAAGATAAAAGCTTGCAGTTTCACTTTTTCTGTTTAAGTCTTTAATCTACCTGGGCTTGCTATTTTTATTTCTATATTCTAATAGAAAAGTACAGGTTTTATATGCTTATCTTATTCACCTTCTTGAACTCTTATATTAATTCCAATATATGTTTAATATTTATTATATATTTATATTTTTCTTATATTTATTCCAATGTTATTTTTCTAGGCAGACGATTCTGGCAACAGCTCTCTATTTGGCTGGCGGATCACTGCCTTCTTGCTGTGCCCTCACATAGTTAAGAGAAAGAGCTCTTCTTAAAAAGGTACCAACCCTACTAAATTAGGGTCCAACCCTTATGGCTTCATTTTACCTTTACCGTAGGTGTCCATGTACAGTCATATTGAAGGTTAAGGCTTCAACCTAAGAATTTTGAGAACACCAACATTCAGTTCATAACAGGTTGTATTTCCGAATAACTGCCAAGGTTTTTTTGTTTCATTTTCTTTTTTTATCTATGTTAGTAGATTTTTAAATGTTTACTTTGGTATATATTCTTGGAATAAACTTTGGCCACTCTGAAAACAACAATTACAGTAAAAGTGGTAAATTGTATTAGGTCACCATTGTTAGAGAAGCTAGAGTTGTATCTCCCAGAATTCTCTTCCCTGTATTGTTCTACTTTAGGCTTGGCCATAAGAATTAATGTGAGATTTGGAAGAAAAAGTGAAGCAGCTGTGAATGATACCAGACAGAGTATCAACTTGACCCAGAGCTTCTCTGAGTCTTAGGTCAGGCATGAGTTCATCTCCAGGGAGAATGGTACCATTTTGTTCTGAAGGTTATGCACGTCATTGAGCTTGGAGAGGGTGAGATAAGGTAGGATTCAATTTGTCCTCATTAGTTCTAGTTTGCCTTTAGGGGTTTCAGTTTGTGTTTACTCCTCTTTATTTCGTACCAGTTCCAAGTATAAGTCATGCTGACCTATAGCAATTTTAGGCTCCCCTCCACACAGAGTCAATAGCCTCTTAGAGGACTCTTTATAAGCTCTCTAAAATATATGAAGTCTAATCCCTATAATTAATCTCTTATACCATATCTCTTATGGGATTCACAGTGAGTGGTTCTGCTTTCCAGATCATATTGTAGGTGATACAAAAATATATAATCTATAGATTTATGAACAAAGTACAAACTCCTTTGCATAGCATATAAAACCTTTAGCCAGTTTTTTATCCAATATCTTGTCCTGTGTTTCTTCATATCTATCATCCCATCACCTGAACAAACTTGTTGCTTATTATATATGGTGTGGTATTTTATTTTATTTGTTTAATGGGAAACCTCTATGTGAACTGAAGTGGAGGGTGTAGTATACAAAGGCCATTTTTAAAAATGATTTTATTTGTTTTTAGAGAGAGGGAAAAAAGCGAGAGAGAGAAAAACATCAATGTGAGAGAGAAATATCAATTGGTTGCCTCTGGTATGTGCCTGGACCTGGGACAAACCTGAAACCAGGCATGTGCCCTGACCAGGTATCAAAACGGTGACAATTCGCTTTGCAGGACATTACCCAATCAACTGAGCCACCCCTGTCAGGACTGTTATGAGCATTTTTGTAGTTGTCTTTTGGTACACACATTATAGCACTTTTTATATCCTTCAGTTTTAACAAATTTGCATTATATTGTAATTATTATATTACACATCTATTTGCCACACTTGTGAGTTCCCTGAGAGGTTTTGTACGCTCGGTGTCAATTACATCACCCAGGACATAGCAGGATTTTTTAAATGTTTATAAAGAAAGAGCACCTGAAAGACTCCTTCTTAAAGAGTCTCCAATTGGATAAAGACTCCAATTTATCCCATTGTATTTCTTAAGCCTTGTAAATATCCTATTTTACCTTTCTTTTTTTTTTTTTTTGAAGATTTTATTTATTTTATTTTTAGAGAGAGAAGGGAGGAAGAGAGGGAGAGAAACATCAGTGTGTGGTTGCCTCTCAAATGCCCCCAACCCTTTGGTTCCCAGGTCAGCACTCAAACCACTAAGCCACACCAGCCGGGGCCTATTTTACCTTTCTTATGGTCATGTGTAAGAAGTGGGCCTATTCTTAGTAAAAATGCATTACTAATTGTGGTGATCATCTTGCAGTATGTACAAATATTGAATCATTATGCTGTATGCCTGAAACTAATATAATGGTATATGTCAATTATATCTCAATAAAAATGCTTCATATTAGGCAATGTACTGAAAGTACGGAAAGACATTAGTATCCCACATACTTTATTTTATTAAATGCCTCTTTATTTTACTTTTTCTGTGTTCCATATATTTTTTTTTCTTTTTTTAGATTTTATTTATTTATTTTTAGGGAAGGAAAGGGGGGAGGAAGAGCAGGAGAGAAACATGATGCGAGATGCAACATCCATGTGCAGTTGCCTCTCCAGTGCCCCTCCTCTGGGGGCCTACCTGCAACCCAAGCATGTGCCCTGACTGGGAATCAAACTGGTGACCCTTTTGTTTGCAGGCTGGTGCTCAATCCATTGAGCCACACCAGCCAGGGCCCCTATATTTTTAATTTTTTTTTATGAGAGGGGGAAGGGAGGGAGGAAGAGAAACATGATGTGAGAGAGAAACAGATTGGTTGCCTTCTTTGCACCCAACCCAGGGAACCAACCTGCAATCCAGACTTGTGCCCTATCCAGGAATCCAACCAGTTACCTTTTGGTTCACAGAACAATAGCCAAACTACCGAGCCACACTGGCTAGGACTCCATATATTTTAGCTCATATTTGAAAGTCACTTTGGGTTATGATTCAATCCATATTCACCATTACATTTTAGCAGAAGTTACCACATCTAAAACAGCACAGTTATATGAAAAGAGCTGCTTTTTAAATACCTAATGGTAAACATGAATAACCTCAATTTTCTTTCTTCTAATGCTAATCTCCTTGACTGGACATTCATACTACCAGCAAATGGAAATTCAACAGAAATCATCAGCTGGAAATTCTTATTCATTATTACCTTAAGACCAACATACTGTAAGTCAGCTTATTACAGAAGCTTAATAAAGTCAAAATGAACACCTAGGTTAGAAATAAATACCCAAGCCCTTTTAAAAGTATGCATGACCGAGTAGATTGGAAATGATAACAATGTATAAGAAAAAGGAAAGAGTAGAAGAAGCAGTAGATATTAAACACAGTCTTCCTAGTTGGAGTAAATTAGAAAAATTTAAATTAGTCACGCTCTGGTGTTCTGTTTAAAGTCCAAGATTAAAAAAAAAAAAAAATATATATATATATATATTTTTTTTTTTATGGTGGGAAAGTTGATTGGCTCCTAGTTCTACTACTAATTTGTAGGGCCTTTGGCAAACCAGCTAACATAATCTGTTTTCTCATTTGTTTGTCTTACTCATTTGTTTGTCTTACTCGCTTGGCAAATACCCTGCACTAAGTAAGCCATAGTTACTATCCGACGGCACTCTGTTATACTTAATCTCAAAGTTAGAAAGCAAGAAATTAGAACCCAAATTTCTGACTCAAGCCCGGCCACTCCAAGACACCCCTTAACAGACAACACTACGTGTCCACCTGGCTGAAGCAGATGTAGTACTTCGAATTTGCATTGACTGGGGCGAAGTAAAAAGGAGGGATTTCCGCCACTACTGCTCTGGGGCAACCGGGACCAAACCCAACTGGATCAGGTGGTAGGAGCGCCCGCAGGAGGTGTCCGGAAACGCCTAGTCGGAGGGACTACATTTCCCACAAGTCCTCGGGGGCAGAGCAAAGGGTGGGCATCAGGGACAGTACAGGACAGGCCTTGAGGGGCAATACCGAGGTAAAAGCCGGCACTGCGGCTCTGAGAGAAGAATAATTATAGTCTGTGCCTAGATTTGTATTAGTTACCCTCCTAACCCAACCAGAACTGACAAAAATGACCTAGCGATTCTAGGGTTTCAGAACCGCAGGATTCCAACCCCACGATCCACATCAGTTACCCCACAGTAGGCCTGGGGGCGCTCCTAGAGGCCTTAAGAAGCCGGACTTTGTGCTGAAAAGATGAAAGTTCAGGGTACCCCTTCATAGAATAGGCGATCATACAGATTCCTCATTCGCCCCTCCTCCACTCCCTGTCGCCTATTACATGGGGATGGAGCTGAGCTGGGCTCCGCTCTCAGCGACTCGGAGTTAGAGGTGGTGCAGGGTAAGGTGCCTTCCTTCCCCGGCCAGACTAGTAGCGAGAGACCTCCCCTCTCCTTCCTTTGGTTGTTGCTTGGGTGTCTTTGTCTCGAGCGGCTAAAGGTATCGAAGTCTTGCGAACCAAACACTGTGAAACACCATCCAGCGTACCTAAGTCCTTTCATCTACCCTTGGGGTGGTCTAAAGATTGTCAATGGAAAGGCTGTTAACTTAGCCTAGGTCGCAGAACTTAAATGGCAGGTTTAAGGTTCCCATCAATCCTCTACCAATCTAAAGCCCTTTGCTTATGTCCCATCACCTTTCTCTAACCTTAACGTAACAGAGGGCAGGCGCTGGTGACCAGAGTACCCCCCCTTTTTTTTTTTTTTTTTTTTTTTGCCGGCGGTATCGACGCGCGCTGCTTTGGGCCCCGGGGAAGCAACCCGCGTCCCAAGCGCGTTGCGCTGGTGCGGACACAGCGGTCCAGTCTTGAGCACCGGGTCCTCCGCGCGTCCATCTCTTCTTTTCCCCCTTCTCTGGCCCTTCTCAGGACACCGCCTCGTAGTTTTTGTTAACTCCTCGGCCGCCAGGCGGGTGGGTGGAGTTTGCTGCGCAGCGGCGGCACGGGCAGCGAGTGGGTCCTCGGGTGGTTCTGGGGCGGGGCTGCAGGGAGTTCAGGAGGGACAGAGAGACCCGGCCGCGATGGGAGGTGTGTCTGCTCTGCAAGGATTCAGCGGGTGGGAGAACGGCTTCGCGACCACCGGTGGCCGGAGCCCCAGCGCCGATTGCTAGAGATGGTCTTCCTGTCGGTGAGTTCTGTCTTCGCGGGCCGGCTTCCCGGCTTGGTCACGCCCCCGGGAGGAGGAAGGAGCCGGGCCACCCAGGTCTCAGTGGCCTGGATAGGGCAGGGGGACTGACCAGTTGCGCTCCTGGGCCTCCTCCCTTTGGGCATGTTGATCCGCGGCTGCGCTCCGTGTTCTAGTTTCATTCAGGCTCTTGGGAAAGCTGGTGTTGCTGCTTCCTGATTCCAGTCAACAGACCTTGGGACCGAGACTGGCGTTGGCGGCTGGAGATGGCGGACAAGAGATCCGTGCATGAAACCAGGTTTGAGGCGGCGGTGAAGGTGATCCAGAGTTTGCCAAAAAACGGTACGTGCCCTGGGGCTCCCGTTGAAGAAACCTGCAGAGGCCTAAGGCCCCACTTTAAGAACCTTTATATCCTTTAACCTTCTTCTTCTACTCTTGCTTATTTAACCTACTTCTTTTCTGCGTCTAAAGGGAGTGTAACTAAAGCGAGGCATCGAATGTGGTTTAATTCCCTGCTGATCTTTCAAGCCTGAGACAAATATGTTATCCAGATTTTAAGTACTTTATGTTGTTGAAAACCAAAGTCTTGTTTCTTAATGACTGCGGTTTGGGGTGCGTTAAAAAACAACTGGCATGGGGATGCCTGGTGCTGCATACTCAAAAAATGTGTTATTTAAGCCTCGTAAAAACTTTTGATATGAAGGGAGAGAAAAGAAAGATCGACTACATTTATTTTAAAAGCGATTTATTTTAATAAGTGTATATATTTACTACTGATTTTGCTATTGTACTAGTTTCTCTTTTTTATACTAATATTACACCTAGCAGGAAAGTCATTTGAGTTGTTCTTTTGTATAATTTCTGTAGTTACTTAAGATTTTTCTCTTTACCTTTGATTTTCTGCAGTTTGACTAGGATGTGACTAAATATGGTTTTCTTCATATCTATTCTCTTTGGGGTTTGCAGTACTTTTTGAATTTATAATTTTATGTCTTTGACCAATGTTGGGAAGTTTACGACCATTATTCAATTTTTTTTTCCTGTGGAGAAGCTTGGAGAGGGGGATTTTTATTTTTCACTTCATATCCTCCTACAATGTATGAAAAACTAAGCCTGTATTTTAAATGATGCTTTTAAGTACTATTATTGTGCCAGAGTGTGATACTAACTGAATACAACATTAGTGTATAACTGTAGTATTTAATATTATGTTCTCTATTTTAATCATTTGGCTACATATTGAATATTCAATACTAATAAAAATTAGGCATAGATTCAAAAAATTGGAAACATACACAAAATAGTATTCTCTTTGTAATCTTCAAACATAGAATTGGAGGAGGACATGGGATTGAAAGATAAGAGTAAATAAAATGTAAAGAAATATAGGAATTTATTTGGTGTTCAGTTTTTAAAACGCACAGTTAAAAGAGTTATTAGAAACGCATGATTCTTAAGAGTTTTGTGGAAGTCGTACCTTTATCCTTTCTACTAAACTACATGTTTTATATATTTTTGAAAATTGATGAAGCTAGACTTGATGTCTCTAGTGTACTTACTACCTATGTTGACATTACATTATCACTTACTATTTTTGTTTTTTACTTTCTTTTTCATCTTTTTTTAAAACTACATATCACTTTTTAAGAAACCATGCAACTGTAAATAAAGTTTCTATTACATAACACTGTCCAGTATTGCAAAGTGAGGATGCCCTGCCAAGTGGCACCTGTGTTGGACAATGTTCAGAACACTGTTATTCCCTGAAACTAAATTGACATTGAGGCAGAAGTATTGTTATAATGAATTAGTAATATTTTTACTTTACATTTAAGCTGTTTAGTATGCCCAGAACTGTTTTGTAAAGAGTGAGATCTTGGAGGGGTTTTTTTTTTCCGTTTTTGCTTAATCTGTATTTAAGGCCTGAGGTTATAATGAATCCTGTAGCATCTATGTTTGATATTCTCTTGGCTTTCAGAAATTTAAATTCTTAGATAAAAATTTTAAGCCCATATATCAAATTTATTATGTATGAGCACTTTGAGGACAGAGATTATACTTTAATCCAGTGTCTTAATAAGACTACATTTCAATATATGTTTTCATTTTTGCTCTAATCTATTCTAAAGCATATATCATCCACCTTAACTAATAGACTTTCAAATTTTGTATTAACTTCATGAAAATATTATGAAATGAGGCTTTAGATGTTTTAAATTTAGATTTGTGTTACTTAAATAGGTAACCATACTTAACTGTAGTATTTTCATTTTTTCCCTTTCTATATAAAGAAGGACTATATCATTGAAATAGTATATCTAATAGATACTCCTAAATGAGCATATGTTATATGGATATTTATTAGTGTGGTTTTGGAATTAATTATTTATTCTTGGCCAAACCTGAAACACTCACTCTTGTCTTGTCTAAGCTGTAGTTTTCATGTTTATATACTACTAGCTTTTGATTACTACATGTTTTCTGTTTATTATGTAATATATAAAGTTTTAAAAATACATTTTACAGTTTTTATTTTTATAATTATTGGTGTAAAAGTAATATACACTGAAAGTAAAATTTTAAAAAATTGTCACCCAAGGATATATTTATTGGTTTTAGAGAGAGAAGGGAGAGAGAAATATCAATCACTTGCATTCCGTAGACACCCCGTCAGTGTTTGAATGCACAACCTAGGCATGTGCCCTGACTGGAATTGAACCCACATCCTTTTGGTGCACAGGGTGATGCTCCAGGCAACTGAGCCACCTGGCCAGGGCTGAAAGTAAATATTTTTAAAACAAGGGAAAAGGAAAATAAAATAATATGTATGCCTACTATATAGAAAGATTTTTTAAGTATTTAATGTGTTTTCTTCTACTATACTTTTTATGTATATAAATACTTGCTTTGCAAAAATGGATTGTACTGCATAGATTGTTTTTAAACTGCTCATTCTTTCTTATTTTATAGTAGATCATGAAAATTTTCTCATTCTATATTTATATTTTTCCTATAATATAATTTTTATGGGCCATAGTTATAAACTATTATATGCTATAAGGGTTTCATATTTACTTAGTCAAGTACTTATAAAATATAGTCCAATTTTGCCCTGTTATTGAGTATTGCACTTGTTTATACAATTTGAAAATTTTAAACATAGAGGTTATAAATATTAAGAAACATATATGAAAGCTGATTTTTAAAGAAATTAATGGGTCCAAAATTACAGAGGTAGGGAGTGAGAAATCTATTTTATCTTGGATTAATTCTTTTTCAACCACAGTACTCTCTGGTTGGCTTTAGCCAAAGTTCCTTAGCCATTGAAAAATTGAAATTTGGCCAAGAGGAGTTAAATTTCTCTTTTCTTTCCTTTCTTTCTTTCTTTTGGAGTTGAATTTCTTACTGTTGCAATTTTATTAAACAAAGTATACATACAACTTTTTCATTTATGCTAGTCATTTTTGGTTTGTTACAATCTTTGGATAAAAAATACCTTATTACAGTTGCATAATACAGTTATTATGTATTTTAATATTTGTGTTTTTAAATGACATTTGCCAGTTATTTTGGTTACACCTATGGCATGTTTGTTCTTTTTTTTATTTATTGAATTGTGTTAGGCTTTGTTTTTGAAGTGTAAAATCTCAGAGTTTCTTTTTTAAATTGAAAGAGTAAAGCAACTAACAGAGCCATAACATTTGTTTCTGTAGGATAGAAATAAATCATTATTTGAACTATTAATGAAATATTAAAAATCACAGTTTGTATAGATGAGCGACTTTGCAGACTTAGAGTATCAATTGTATTCTTCAAGCCATCTTTATTTAATATTTGTTTCCAAAAGGTTCATTCCAGCCAACAAATGAAATGATGCTCAAGTTCTACAGCTTCTATAAGCAGGCAACTGAAGGACCCTGTAAACTATCAAGACCTGCATTCTGGGATCCTATAGGAAGATACAAATGGTAATTCTATGTAGAAAAGTGTGAAGGAAATTTTATTGTAATGATTGTTATTTATGTGGTTATATATTTTCCTATTCATAAAGTGTTCTAAGTACAGGATACAATTTTTATCCTCCATGTGGTCTTAACCCACTTTCACACAAATAGGAAAGTCTTAGGGAAGAGAGGAAAGCAAAAAACACAAGGGGTAGTTGCATCAGACATAATCAAGCATTTTCATTAAGTCTTTCTTTTTATGGAGTTTTTCTTTTTTTATTTTGCCCAAGACCAAGTCCCAAACAAAGTCAGAGGAACAAAACAAACTCGGCTGCCTCTTTGACCTGACATGAAAAGGAATGACTTTTGCTTGTCAAGTGGCATTGTTTGCTTTGAGATTTTAAGATAAAAAGTAGCTAGGAACATGACTCAGGTGCTGTCATTCTAACATTTTATTTAAGCCATCACTCCTGTCCTACTACACCTGAATAAAAATTTGATTTTTAATATACTCAAAAGAATCATAATATATCTAGGGATACCTTTGCCATTTTTCCAATTGACTGATGTTTTTAATACTCTGGAGGACATGACAAACATCTAACAAAATGTCTGACTAGACTGTTCTACATGAATAGAGTATGCTAATTAGTGAAGCACCCACATTTTTGTGGCTAAGTTTCTTCTCCCTGAATTGGAAGTCCTTAAACTCTTTTGAGGATTCTTAATTATCTACTTTTCTATGAGAGCTTCATGAATAGTCTTAAAATAATAGGTTAAGTATAATAGCAACATGTTACCTAATCTGCTGTAAGAAAAATTATTTATTTACCATTTTCCCTCAGAATTGATCTTTGGTGGAGTTAAACTGCTTTTGGGAAAAAAAACATAAAAAGAATGATTTTCATTTTAGGCAAAAGTTTTAAAGGGCTGTTCTCATTATCTAGGGGTTTAAAATTTTCCTGTTCCTTATGCTTTTATTTTTTTAGAAGTAAGAAATGGTTTCCATCTTTCAAATGTGTAAGTTAAATTCTTATCTAAATTAATGGACAATTGTAAACAAAACTTCTGATTGTTGAAAACACAGCTGTGACAGTTCACGTAGAGGCTTCTAAAATACTTATTTCTGTCATTGTTCTTTTTAATGATATGAAAACCTTTAAAGAGTTCTTAGCAAATATTTATGAATAGTTTATAGTCTATGTAATATCTATATCCATAGTCTATAGGGGCTGATATACTTATTAATTTAAAATATTTTTTAATTGACAGTTTATTTTCTGTGCCTTTTTTTGTTTAAGGTGGTACATTTAAAGACATCCTTTGGAAGTATAATATGGCTTTAAATGTTAGAGCTCATTTAAAATTTATGGTCCTATACGATCAACTATAAATTGTATTCTGAGCACTCGAAAATCAGGTGTTTCTTTTTTTCTTTTTTAAAGAGAGGGAGAGAAACATCAATGTATCATTGCCTCTCACTGCATCCCCCTCCAGGGACCTGGCCTGCAACTGAGGCATGTGCCCTGACTGGGAATCGAACCAGCGAACCCTTTGGTTCACAGGCCAGCACTCAGTCTTCTGAGCCACACCAGCCAGGGCTCAGGTGTCTTCTATTTATTTTATTTTATTTTATTATTAATCCTCACCCAAGGAGATTTCTTCATTGCTTTTAAGAATTTTATTTATTATATTTTTTTAGAGAGAGGAGAAGGGAGGGACAAAAAGAGGAAGAGAAACATCTATTTGTGAGAGAAACTTTGGTTGTATCTCCCACACCTCCAGCCCGGGGCCTGGCCTGCAACCCAGGGATCTGCCCTGACTGAGATTTTTACCCGCAACCTTCCACTTAGAGGAAGATGCTCCAACTAACTGAGCCACAGCAGCCAGGGAAAAAAAAACAGGTGTCTTTTAAATTGGTGGTTACAAAATAGTTGTGGGGTTGTAAAGTGCAGCATAGAGAACATAGTCAATTGTAATAACTATGTGTGGTGTCAGATGGGTACTAGACTTATCAGGATAATCACTTTGTGAGTTACATACATGTCTAATCACTAGGTTGTACACCTGAAACTAATAAAGTATTATACATCAATGTAATAGAAAAATATAAATTATTTTTAAAAAGAAAATTAGGTATCTGTTGTTATGTGGATATTTTCATTTCTAGGGAAGCTTGGAGTTCCCTGGGTGATATGACCAAAGAGGAAGCCATGATTGCATATGTTGAAGAAATGAAAAAGGTAAGAAAAATAATTTATAGAAGAAAATTAAAAATATTCAGAATGACTCTAATTTAATTTGGTTATTAGGCAAATTAGTTGCTTTGTTTTAAGGAACGAGGAGATTGTAATATACTAAAAGATAGAATCTAGATTATTGAATTTATTAGGGCTTTATCTGTCATCAGAGATCATCTTAAGGTAAGTATTTTTCCTTATTAATATTGGGATGACATGACATTTTGTTCTTTTTTTCCCTCTTACCTGTCTTTCCGTATAAGTTCACTTTTACAGAAAGTGTATAAATATGAAATTTCAAAATATTGACATTCCTTACTCAGGAATCTAAAAAGTACCTGGACTATCTTGAAAGCATTCTGCTTTGGAATTTTTTTATTTAGGAGAACTAGTTAACAAGACTGCCAGCGATGGTCTCACACACCTTTTGACTCATAAATTGAGATATTACCATCCCTATTCCTCAGTAACAAGCATTTTTCTGTCCATGTAAAGATCCTAGAAACAGAATAAAGATGCTTTTAGTTTCTCTGGTAATAACTAAAAAGTGCATCCCTTATTAACTAGCTCTTTTAAGTCTGTTCAGGGCATTGTTTAGAGGAGCAGAGGTATGAAGAAATCACAGACTTAAAAGATAGACTTAGTGCCATTTTATAAAGGACCATTTTTATGTTGGAGATGGATGAGAAGATGTGAAATCTAGGTCTGTTTATCATCTTAAGTAAATTGTCTTTGAACATAAAATTATAAAAAGAATAGTTTTTTTGCTGTGTGTTTTGACAGTATTAATCTGTGTAGTAATTTCAATTTAGTAGATTCAAAATAGTTTTTATTTTGTGTAATCACATATACATTGCTCAAAATTGTGCCCTTTGTTACATTCTCACAATATTTTTAGTTGACTTTGTTTAGAACAGGGCGGAGTTTGGTTCTTTTGGCTGTTAACTATATCAGTAACACAACAACAAAGGAGCCTTTCAGAAGCAGAGAAAGAAAATCTACAGCCTTTTTGGTTTGATAACTATTCCTTTTTACCTTAAATATCATTATAATTTTTAGGACACACCTCAGTAATGTAAAGCTGAATTGACACATTAGGTAAAATGTACTCATTTTTCATACTGAGTTTTATTAATACATAGTATAACCATTAAAGTGGGAGTAGGGGTGAAACAATGTGTTCCACTTTTTTTTCCCCAAGAAAGATTAAAACTGTACTTCTGCCTTTTAGCTGTCTTAAAATGCTTCCACTGTGCCTATAGATTTCTGCAACTGCTTCTTTAATTAAAAGAAGACACCAACTTCTCTGGCCAGGTAGCTCAGCTGCTTAGATCACTGTCTCAATACACCAAGGTTTCGGGTGCAGTCTAGTCAGAGCACATACAAGAATCAACCAATGAATGTATGAGTGGGTGAACAGCAAGTTGATGTTTCTCTCTGTCTCTTTCAAATGAAAAAAAAAAGAATATACTATATATTTTTACTGAGACTTTAAGATTTTCATTTCATACTGTGAATATAATACATTTTGTAGGAAAATTTATAGATCAACTAAAATATTAAATAATGCAGATTGAAAATCTGATTAGTGTTTTCAGTTATTTTCAGAGTTTAGCTTTGTGAACATCAGTAGATAAAATACATCCTTTCAAATAATTGTGTAGGGTAGTACATCACACCAAAGGTTTCATAATTGAATTAGAGACTTTTTATTTTTTATTTTTTTAATATATTTTATTGATTATGCCACTACAGTTGTCCCATTTCCCCTTCATTCCCCTCTACCCTGCACACTCCCTACCCCCACATTTCTCCCCTTTAGTTCATGTCCATGTGTCATAAGTTCTTTAGCTTCTACATTTCCCATACTACTCTTGCCCTCCCCCTGTCTATTTTCTCTCCATCGTCTGTGCAACTTATTCTCTGTACCTTCTCCCCCCTTCTCCTTCTCCCACTCCCCTGTTGCTAACCCTCCATGAGATCTTCATTTCTGTTTCCACTCCTGATCTAGCTTTCTACTTAGTTTGCTTTTGTTTTAGGTGTGGTTGTTAATAACTGTGAGTTTGTTGTCCTTCCACTGTTCATATTTTTTAATCTTCTTTTCCTTAGATAAGTCCCTTTAACATTTCATATAATAAGGGCTTGGTGATGATGAACTCCTTGAACTTGACCTTATCTGAGAAGCGTTTTATCTGCCCTTCCATTCTAAATGAAAGTTTTGCTGGATAGAGCAATCTTTGATATAGGTCTTTGCATTTCATGACTTGGAATACTTCTTTCCAGCCCCTTCTTGCTTGTAAGGTCTCTTTTGAGAAATCAGCCGACAGTCTGATGGGAACTCCTTTGTAGGTGACCGTCCCCTTATAACAAAAACTGACAATAATTTACTAACTGAAGCAATTGTTGAATTATATTCTTAAATATAGTGCACAAATCACTGAACTGTTGCTCTTTAAAAATTTTTTTAAGTTTTTTTGTTTTTTATCTTTATTTAAAGATTTTATTTATTTATTTTTAGAGAGAGGGGAAGGGAAGGAGAAAGACAGGGAGAGAAACATCAATGTATGATTGCCTCTCAGAGGCTCCCTACTGGGGACCAGGCCCACAACCCAGGCATGTGCCCTAGACTGGGAATCGAACCAGCAACCTTTTGCTTTGCAGGCCCATGCTCAATCCACTGAGCTACACCAGGCAGGGCTGACCTGTTGCTCTTTAGAATTATTCTTTTAGTATACATCTCATTGCATGCCTTCGTGTTTAGGATTTTAAGGAACCTTATTAATTTTATTTATATGTTGTAATAGATAATTTATAGAAAATTGCTTTTCATAATTTTAAACTGTTCAGTGAAATATCACCAAAAAAGTTGCTGGAATAAAAAATTATTTTAAAATAATGTAATAGAATTTTAGCTTTGAAGGATAGAATAATGTAGTTTGGCATGAATAATCCATGTTTCTATACATAGTTGATTTTGATTTATAGTCAAAGGGAAATATAAAATTCTGTTTTCTGTACAATTTTACAGGCTATCATAGGGGGATTTCCAGAAAATCAGCCAATACTTGAATAATGTGTGTTATGTCTTTTGAGCTTAGAGAGAGTTCAGTGTATGTTCAAGTACCCCTAGTTGATGCCGAAAACTGCAGATGGTACTGAAACTTATGTATACTGTGTTTTTTTTCCTGTACATACATACCTTTTCACTTGAAGCAATTTATAGCTTCTCTTTTGGAATATTGCTTTGATATCAGTTACCAATCGATGGCTATTTATTTGAATCCTTTTCAGTTAATATACCTTGCTCTTTTAATTTGATGATTATATATTGGCCCACAGTTATAAAGATGTCTGAAAGTGCTTATTATTTCCTACTTTTAGAAACGATACCATAATTAAAGAACAAACAATTTTATACTACCCCAACAGTTTTTTATTTTATTTAACATTGGTACTCTTAGGTTGTCTTTTATTTTATTTTTATTTATTGGTTAGATAGAGAGAGAGGGAGAGAGACCCACTTGTTGTTCCACTTATTTATGCATTCATTGGTTGATTCTTGTATGTGCCCCGACTAAAAATTGAACCCACAACCTTGGCGTATCGGGAGAATGCTCTAACCAACTGAGCTACCTGGCCATGGCCTAGTGCCCTTTGTTTTGAATGCACATTTCATAGATCATTGTGCAAAGTTTTACATGAAACTTATGTGAAATAGGTTTTTTTTTTTAAGATTTTATTCATTTTTCTTTAGAGGGGAAGGGAAGGAGAGAGGGAGAGAAACATCAATGTATGGTTGCTTCTGGTGCGTCCCCTGCTGGAAACTGTCCCCTGCGGGGAACTGGCCTGCAACCCAGGCATGTGCCCTGACTGGGAATTGAACCGTGATCGTATGCTTCGCAGGCCTGCGCTCAATCCACTGAGCTACACCAGCCAGGTTGTGAAATAGTTTTTAAAATGGGGACACTTTGAATCTTTGATATACTTGAAACTTTTCTAGGAGGTTATATGTGTTAAGTATGTATTAATACAAATACTTTGGGAGTCTGTAAAGGAACCTCACATCTCATTTATCAATACATAAATTGTAAATGTTATATGATTTTATAGTAATTTAAATCAGATTAATAGTTTGTGATTTCACAATATTTGTTTCTTTTGACTTCAGATTCTTGAAACCATGCCAATGACAGAAAAAGTTGAAGAATTGCTCCATGTCATAGGACCATTTTATGAAATTGTAGAGGACAAAAAGAGTGGCAGAAGTTCGGATTTAACTTCAGGTGGGACTATTTTACCTTGTTTTTAACTCAGCAACTTATACATTACACTTACATTAATAGTTATATGTCTTAATTTTTTTTTTTACTCTCACATGCCAGTCCGACTGGAGAAAATCTCTAAATACTTAGAAGGTAGGAATAATGAAATCCATTTAAAATTGTGTTTAAAATTTATATACCAAAAAATTGTACACAAATTTATGTAACTTACAAGCTTGTCACTCAAGAGTTTTAATTCAAGCAAATGTATTACATAAAGTTCTAAAATATTATAAACCCTTAAGTTATTGATACATGATAAGTGGTTCACTTAGCATGTATAAAATTATAACAAAATTACAGTTTTATTTTGGTGGATTATATTTTCTAATTTGCTTTTGCATTTTATCAACAATGCCATGACTGAAATTATTTTCTAGCTAATATTATTATTTTTTTTTAATCCTCACTGGAGGATATGTTTATTGATTTTTAGAGAGAGAGGAAGGGGGAGAGAGAGAGAAAGACATCCATATCGATATAAGAGAGGAACATCCGGTTGCCTCCCATATGTGCCCTGACCTGGTATCGAACCCACAACCTTTTGGTGTACAGGACAACGCTCCAACCAACTGACCCACCCTGCCAGGGCTTTAGTAATTTTAAAGTGCTATGTTTACAATATGGTTTAACTGTAGCTTAGCAATCTAAAACAAAAGTAAATTCACTTAGTTTGGTTTTTCTTTTTAGAATTCTTTTTTTGTTCTCTGAAGAATTGAAAGGTGTATCTTTTACATACTAGCAGGAGTTGAGTAATATGTAGATTTGTTGGTATTAACTTTAAACATTTGCTCTTTAAATTTTTTTTAGAAAGCAGAGTGAAATGAACATGAGAGTGAACATTTTAAGTGAAAAACTATACATATAGTAATATATATGGTATCCTCCCTTTTTTCTTGTTATCGCTATTTTAAGGCATCTTTTGCTAATTGATGGAAATTACAGTGTTTCTGAGCAGTAATCATTCTGTCCTGCCATAAGGTCTGCAGTTCGTGTCTGCCATCACTACTGTGATTGCTGACTGGGCATAATTCTGCACCGTACCTTGCACATCTGATTTGCCTAGAGGAGTCAGATGTTACCAGATAGTCTTCCTTAACATACTTGTTCACTTCAGAAAGAATGCTGTATGAAGTATTCATACTTCTCTGTTTAAAGTATGTTTTTAGGATGCAAAGGGGCATAAGTCTAGACCTGCTTTAGTAGTGTCCAGCCTACTGACCAGAGGCAGATGTTTAAACAACCAATTATAAAAGCAAGGGAATGTGAATAATAATAATTTAAAAAAAAGATTCAGGTTTACAAATGCTTAGGTATAATTAAAAATTCAAAACACTTGATAAACCAAAATTTGGTTTTTTTAATAACTTATTTGACAGTAAAACTTACCCTGACATGTTGAGGGGCAACTAATTGAAGGGCAAACCCTGACCTAGAATGACACAAAGGTATTTTAAGTCTTTATCCTATGTATTTATATGTTTTGCTGAAAAATATTATAAATTTTTGTTTTAGCCAGAGCTGCCTAGACTCTGTATATGCCTACAGCATATATAGTATATGACCTTTGCAAAATTAGAACATTCTGGATTTTGAATCATACCTGAATCCAAGGGTAGTAAGGGACATGGACATGTAGCATAATGTATTTATTTAATCTGTACCATTCTAATGTACATTTAGATTGTTTCCTCTTCTGATCTTCAACAAATGCTACTGAAATTGACCATGTGCAAATGTCATTTTAATACGTGGAAGAGTATCATAAGAAATAATATTAAAACTAATTGCTGGACCAAAGGGTATGGGTATTTGATAGGTGTTCGCAATTTTATAAAATATTGCCACATTTCAGGACAGTTTGCAATGTTTACTTTTTTTTTTTAAACAAAGCAAATTGTTCAAAATAGCCACTTAGACCCAGTAGAGTAGCTGTGTCTTTTTCACATGGGCTTTTTCAGAATATACACACATAGTAAGCTTTGAAAGTAGGAGGTATGGGCTGTCCAACATTGTTCTTTTTAAAGATTGTTTAGACTATTCTTGATCCCTTGCATTTCATATGAATTCTAGAATCACTTTGCCAATTCTTGGCAAAAGTGCCTGCTGGGATTTTGGTAGGAATTGCAGTGAATTATAGCTCATTTGGGGAATTACTGTCATATCAACATTATTGCCTTCTAGTTCATTTGTTTAGATCTTTAATTCCTTGCAACACTGTTTTGTCATTTGCAGTGTATAATTCTTGTACCTTTTTTGTCTAATGTGTTCTTAAGTATTTTATTCTTTTGGGGGCTTTTGTAGTTTGAATTGTTTTCTAGTTTTATTTTGGGTTGTTTATTGTTAGCTTATAGACATACAATTGATTTTTATGTATTGACCTTGTATCCTGCAACATCACCAAACTGTTTACTAGTTCTAATAGTTTCTGTAGATTTCTTAGGACTTTCTAAATAGAAGAGAATGTCATCTGCAAAAAGAGGTTATTTTACTTGTTTCTTTCCAGTCTGAAAGCTCTCTGTTTTTTTTCTTGCATTACTGCTCTGGCTAGAACTTCTAGTACAATATTAAAAAGAGATGGCAAAAGCAGATATCTCTGTCTTATTTCTTATCTTGGGAGCACAAAATTCAGTCTTTTTATGTTAAGTATAGATGCTAGTTGTGAGTTTTCTTTATTTTGTTTGTCAGATTGAGGAAATTCTCTTATATTAATTTCTCCAGCATTATTATCATGACAGTGGTAGATTTTGTCAAATGCCTTTTCTGCTTCTGTTGCAGTAATCATGTAGGTTTTGTCCTTTAGTCTGTGAATATGGTGTGTTGCATTAAGTAATTTTTGGATGTGAAGTAACACTCAGTAATTCTCTGTGCTTTCTACAACTCTCATCACAGGACTGTTGTGATGCTCTTTTTTGCTGTTGTCAAGTAGTTTTTGACGTTCATCCATTTGATGACTAGTTTTGGGGGCTTCCCTGTTACTTACTTAGTTTCGTTGAAGATTCAGTGATTGGGGGGTGTTTTTGTTCTTTGTGGAAGATCTTCCACCTCTTCCTGAGCATGAACTGGCTCCATCCAAGTTAGTAGAGGAAGTGGATGATGTTCATCTTATTTGAGTTCAACGATTACCATGCACTGCAGAAAGATGTGCTTAGCTTTTTTTCAGACTGCAGAATCTGCAAATGGTGAGAATGAAATTCACTTCTTCTTAAGTAGAGATGGGAAACCAAAAAGTGATGCCTTAATTGGAATAAAGTCAGCGGGATGTTCAGAAAGCCTTAGAAAAGCATTGCTTGTACATGGGGCAACAGTATGTGGAAGTATATGAGATAAACAATAAAGATGTGGATGCCTTAATGCGACCTTAATTCAAATCTTTACCTGTGATAAATGATCGTGGAGTTTGTTTGAGAGGACTTCCTTATAGTTGCAATGAGAAAAATGTTGTAGATTTCTTTGCAGGACTGAATATAGTAGATACTACCTTTGTGATGGACTAGAGAGGGAAAAGAAAAGCAGGAGAACTCTATTTGAAGTTTGAAGAACCATAAATGGGCAACCAAGCCCTACTGAAACACAGGGAAGAAATTGGTAACTGATATTTTGGTTGGTAAAAGAAGAGATATTGCTGAGCAGAAGGAATGAAGTTTGAACACATGTTGGTTCTCAAAAGGAAAAGAAAATGGTGTCTCCTAATGCCAAGTTTATAACTGAGCCATAAGAGGTCTTTGAAGAACATGAAGTAAATGAGGGTTTTTGACACATTACCGTTTTTGAAAGTGAGGAAATAGAATTGCCTAAGAAGATGTCAGAAAAGCTTGCAGAGTTGTTGATTTTGGAATTATATCTTCACTACATTTTGTTCACATGAGAAGATTGCTCTTCCAAGCCAGTGTCCAGGACATGTAAACTTCTTTGCTCCACTCCAGCCTATTAGAGTTACCCTGGAATATAGTCCTAGTAGGAAGGCAACTGGAACAGCTGATGTGCACTTTGATGCCATAAAGATGCAGTTGCAGCTATGCTCAAGGGTCAGTTCCAAGTTACCATCAGTATATTGAATTGTTCCTGAATTCATGTCCAAAGGGGAAATAAGACTTCCAGGGACTCCAGATAATAAGGATGAAGCAAGAAGCATTTCATCTGCATATGTTTCTTGGAAATGGGATATAAAGTTCCAGTTTTTTAGCAGCAATTGCTAGAGAAAGGATTTTGGGGTTTGAGGTTAATTGCTTACAAGAAAAAAATTCCATAGTGGACTGCTTAGAAAGTAAAAGGAAAGATTAAGTTTGGGGTTAAATAAACTATAAATTTATATTTGGCTTAAACTTGTTTAGAATAGGATCTGATTTAAAAATATGGTCTTTATTTTATGATTAAATAATTTTTTTTCATAGAGAATATGTTATCCAATGTTAGGACTGCATGTTTTCATTCAGCACTGTCCTTTAAAATTTTTCTCCCATTTTGAAAATGATTTGTTTGAGAGCTCTGATCTAAAACTTTCTATGCAATAAAATACTGATTTCTTTTAACTAAACATACCCAAAAGCAAGGAAAGATTTCAGACCTTTGAACCATTATGGCTTGGAGAGTAGTTATAATTTTAGGTATATTTGATGACTTAGGAGTAGGTATTATGAACTGCCCCTCTGGTTTCAGAAGCTGTAAACCGCCCCCCCCCCCAACTTGCCCATGGCTAAGGCTGAGTGGGTGACCTTTGAACCATAAGCCACTGAGGAGACAAAGCTTATATCCCTGGCAGGGGTGCTGCCTCAGCCCCTTTTACTTCATCCTGCCTGGACCCAGTGCATGATCAGTTAGTCGGTGATGGGTAAGATTCCTCAAGGGAGGGATGACCTAAGACAGGCTCAATCATGGGGGCCCCCAGGGAAGGACTTAGGGGACTATAGAAAAAAGGGGTGATGGACCCTCACCCCTTGGCTTTGACATAGCTTGAGTCCTGATTCTGTCTGCAAGAAGTCTCCTAATTTCTTGGCTGCCTTAGTTCCCCTGCCTGACTTAAGTCTGAAACAATGACAGAGGGTGGTGCAGCCCTGTGCTGGAAAGGGCGAGTTCCCTGGGGTGATCAGGCCTAAGAAAGAATACATAAAATCCTGTGAAACCTGCTTTGCTAGGAATGCTCTCAATCAAATGATAAGAGTCTGAGCAGGAAATGAGCTTCTTTCTCAAAGTTTTGTAGCCCCTTAGCTAACAGACCCTGACTCAGAATAAGTCCTCATAGTTCTTTGTATACTATCTATTGTTTGATTCTTACTGCCTGACAATGATTAATGAGCTTTACCTGTATTCCTATGTAAAATGAACCCCATAAAAGCCCATTGAGGAAAAGGCTCTTGGCCCTTCTCCTTTGAGAGATCAGCCACCTTTCCTCCCCTAGTAGGTCATGTCTTGGTAGACTTATTCTCATCTTTGACAGTGGGGTGAGAGGAGGCCTGTGGGCGGATCCCCCCCCACAGGTAGGACTTTAAAAAAAGATTCAAAACAAAAATTAAATACCACAGCTTAGTGAGTGTACATGACAGCTATTTGTCGGTATCATATCTTTAGAAATGTTTTGCCTTTTTAAGCCTGTGCTACTGGCATTTACCATTAGTACCTGTATGCTTTAGGAGGGAATTCTAGTCTCAACTTAAAAGTTGTCTGAGTACATCCTCCCTACACCTGTTTTGATTTTGGGTGAACATTAAGAGTGTTAGTCTTAAAACTAACGTGACATATCAAAACAGTCCCTACTGGTAAGGACATTAATGTCCTCACTGAAATTTAAACCAGCTCTAAATAGGAAAATATATAAATCAATGTCCTCACTGGAATTTAAATCAGCTCTAGATAGGAAAAAATTATAAATCCCCCCATTTGCTTTTTCAGTGAAATAGCATATCCCATATTTTAGAACAAGTAGGGATACCTTGCTTAAATAAAAATAGCATTTAACGTATATGTGTGAAGGGTTTATGGATAAGGCTGTACTTTTGTCATGTTGTGGTAGTACCCTTAGCTTTAATGTTAATATAACAGTTTAGCTTATTATAAAAAGAAAAAAAGGAATAGGTCTGGACCCAGCGATTCTACTTCTGGGAATATATCAGAAGAACTTGGAAACACTGGTTTGAAAGAACATATGAACACCTATATTTATACCAGTGTTATTTACATGCCATGATTTGGAAGTAGTCCAAGTGCCCATCAATATATGAGTGGATAAAAAAAAACAGTGGTACATTTACACAGTGGAGTACTACTTGGCTGTAAAAAAAGGAGGAAATCTTACTTTTGCAGTAGCATGGATGGACCTGGAGAGTATTATGCTAACTCAAATAAGCCAGTCAGAGAAAGACAAATACCATATGATTCACTTGTATGTGGAACCTAGTGAACAAAATAAGCAAACAAAAGGTAAACAGATACATAGATACAGAGAACAGATTGTCAATTGTTAAGGAGGGGGCCTGGGTGAAACATGTAACCAGATTAAGCGAACAACAGGTCATAGACACGTAATGGTAGGGTGACTACCAGAGGGAAGGAGGGTGGGGGAGGTTAGAAGAGGGTAAAGGAGGGAGGGATAAGTGATGACAGAAGGAGATTTGACTTTGGGTGGTGAACACACAATACAATATACAGATGATGTATATACAGATGTATATAATTGTACACTTGAAATACAATTTTATTAATCGATGTCCCCTGATAAATTCAATAAAAATTAAAAAGGGAAAGGAATATAGGTCTGACTATTAAGATGTGTGGAGATTTTGAAATTTAATGTTTTTTGTGATGCAGGGAAGCATCCAAAGTGCATTTGTATAAGTGAAAATAAAGCCCAACAGTTTGTGGAAGAAGACTGCTGTTTTTGTCAGTAACCACTTAAGAGGTCTTTAGTGTGTTAAAGAGTTGATGGGAATGTAATTCCCTGTATCTTAGAATGAGGTCCAGTAACCAACAGCATTGGCATCACATACAAAATCTTATATCAGCCCACACTTACTGACTCAGAATCTGCCTTTTAGCTAGATCTTGAGTGATTACTATGCATATTAGCATTTGAGAAGCTCTGGTGTTTACTTTCAAGATGTGACTTTGGGCAATAGGACCATCTGACTTTTTATTTATTTTATTTTTAATTAAATTTATTGGAGTGACATCAGTTAAAATTTGCCTTTTTATTTTTATTTTTTTAATTAAAAGATCTTATTTATTTATTTATCTTTAGAAGGGAAGGGAAGGAGAAAGGGAGAGAAATATCAATGTATGGTTGCCTCTCATATGTCCCCTGCTGGGAACTGGCCTGCAACCCAGGCATGTGCCCTGGCTGGGAGTTGAACTGTGATCCTTTGGTTTGCAGGCCCGCACTCAATCCACTGAGCTATACCAGCTAGGGCATAAAATTTGCCTTTTTAAATGATTGATCACATTAACTGATACTTTTTTTTGAAAAGCTTGTTTATAAAGACATAATGAATTGTGCAAAAGAAAAGAAATAAGTTGTGCACCTGAAGTCCCAAAGGTAATAAAATGAAAAAATTTTTAATGTAATCCAACTATAATATTGATATGATTGTTGTTAAGGTGAAAAAGAATATATTTATGTTTTCAGTGTGTTTGCATATAGCAGCTGTCTCTTACCATGTGTAAAGATCATTCATCTGTAGCTTTACTATTTTTTTAAACTAGAATTTCTTTCAAAACTTTTTTGTTATGATTTTGTTTATGTATTTTTAGAGAAAGGGAAGGGAGGGAGAAAGAGAGGGAGAGAAACATCAATGTGTAGTTGCCTCTTACACGCTCCCTACTGGGGACCTGGCCCGCAACCCAGGCATGTGCCCTGACTGGGAATCAGACCTGTAGCCTTTTGGTTCCTAGGCCAACACTCATTCCACTGAGCCACACCAGTCAGGGCTATAGCTGTACTATTTTGATTGATGTTAACTTAAAAATAATTTATCCTTTGCCTTTTCAGAAAGGTTTTAAGATTGGTTTATTATTTATAACCAAAGAAAAGAATATTATAATTATATATCAGTATCTGTTTACTTCAAAATTATTTTATTAGTTACTTGTAAATAACAGTGTTATTGTATATTATATCATTAGAGATTAAATGCTTGTTTTCATATTTTAGATCTTGGTAATGTTCTAACTTCTCCTCCAAATGCCAAAACTGTTAATGGTAAAGCTGAAAGCAGTGATAGTGGAGCTGAGTCTGAGGAAGAAGAGGCCCAAGAAGAAGTGAAAGGAGCAGAACGAAGTGATAATGGTAACCTATGGATGATGGGATAATAATTTTACAATTAAACAAGATAAAAGGATATGGAAATGTTTGGGCTAATTTGACCTTGTATGGGAGTGGTAGGATGTGGATTGTTGACCCTGTAACCAGGTTTGTTGTGGACCAAAAGGCCTACAGAATTAGGGAAAGCCTTCCTTATGCATAGATGTAATACAAGTCCACTGAAGGCTAGCAAGAATATGTGGCTCTTCCAAATGTAATGCCTGAAATGCTGCATTAAGAACATATTCATCTAATATGTTATTTCCAATATGAATATGCATATGTTACCAAGATAGAGGGCAACCAATCTCTCGTCAAGGATAGAGTGGAACCCAGAGAACAGGACATATGCAGAAGTTCTAATGAAGAGGGAACATTGGAATTGGGGGGCCTGCATTAGGGCGTCCTTATCAGTAAGAGTACCAGTGATTCTTGGGAAGACTGTTTTATTTATTTATTTTTACTTTTTATTGTATTTTTCCCCATTACCATTTATCCACCTTATACACCCCTCCCCCCTGTAATCACTACATTGTTGCCCATGTCCATGAGTCCTTTTCCATTTTTGCTTGATCTCTCCACCCTCTTGACCCCCTCCCCAGAACCATCAGCCTGCTCTCTATCTATGAGTCTGTTTCTATTTTGCTTGTTAGTCCAGTTCGTTAAAGTACACATATGGGTAGCATTGTATGCTATTTGTCTTTTTCTGACTGGCTTATTTCAGTTATTATAATGTTCTCCAGGTCCATCCATGCTGTTGCAAAGGGTAATATTTTCTTCTTTTTTATGACTGAGTAGTATTCCATTGTGTAAATGTCCCATAGTTGTTTCATGCATTCATCTACTGATGGACGAGGGGAGACTGTTTTAGAAAGGGGAGGCAGAAAGGTCCTAGAACAAGCTGCACAACCTAATTATGCCTTTCTGTTTCATTAAGGTATGACAATGCCTTCTTTGAAGGATTTTTTTTATTGAGTATATATACCTTTTTGTTCTGCCGTGTCTAATAGAGCATTTTGCCTATGCTGAGAGAGTGTGAAGACCTTGAGAGCTTATCTTTTAAAGGGGGTCTAGAAAACTCACAGAGAACTAAAGCAGTTTTGAAACAACACAGTTTGTGTGAAACTCAGTATATAAAACACCCTTTTTTTAGGAGCACCCCATCCAAGTAGGGTTGGATCTCTGATTCAAGTAGGAAACCCTTCAAAGTGATTATGGTAGGTTGAAGAAATGACTACTTGATATGAGACTATATACAAAGGTTGATCTAATGAGAACTTTTATGGCTCTCCATTTTCACATAAAAGATAAGAAAATGATGAAGAAATCCACAGAGCATAAGAATTTGGAAGTCATTGTCAATAAGGGCTGTGATAAAGACAGCGTTGTTCAGAATGTGCAGAATGCTGTCCATGCCAGGTCTTCCCTGAGTGGCACAAGCACTGAGGAAGGCGTACCTGTACATCAAAACTTGGAGCAAACTGGAAAACCTGCTGTCTGCATTCACCAAGGTATTCTCCCAGAATAATTATTTTTCCAGCCTCTTTCCTATGAATAAAACATTCTTTAAAAAAAGATTTTATTTATTTATTTTAGACAGAGAGTAAGGGAGGGAGAAAGAGGGAGAGAAACATCAATGTTTGGTTGCCTCTCGTGCACCCCCTACTGGGGACCTGACTTGGCCAGCAACCCTGGCATGTACCCTGACTGGGAATCGAACCTATAACCCTTTGGTTCTCAGGCCAGCACTCAGTCCACAGAGCCAGGGCTGAATAAGATATTCTTTTTTTTTTAAATAAGATATTCTTTTAATAATTTCAGATTATTAGGATCAATGTGGAGTTTTAAATCTTTTCTTCAGTAGTATCTAAGGATTTATTAATTTTATAAGGCTTTAATAGCATTGAAAGACAGTGAATTAGGGCCAGGGCATTTATGTTTTTAATGAGATTTTTTTTTTTAAAGATTTTATTTATTTATCTTTAGAGGGGAAGGGAAGGAGAGAGGGAGAGAAAAATCAATGTATGGTTGCCTTTCGTGCATCCCCTGCTGGGAACTGGCCTGCAGGGAACCGGCCTGCAACCCAGGCATGTGCCCTGACTGGGAATCGAACCCCGATTGTGTGGTTCGCAGGCCTGCGCTCATTCCACTGAACTACACCAGCCGGGGCTAATGAGATTTTTTAATTGTTTCAAAATGTCATTTAAAAATTTTTTTTGAAATTTCAATTTTTATTCCTGATTTTTTAAAACTTAAATCCCCGATTCTATGATACCTTTGTTCTCTAATCATCAGGGTAGGTTATACTCTTTTTGTATCTTAGGGCCCTAGGGGTGAATATGTAATATGTATGCGGTGAATTATTAACATTATTGCAATTCAACCAAGAAACCAAGAAACATACTTTCTAAGGGTTACAACCAAACTCGTAATAGTTGCCTCAAAATTTAGACTTCCTAGATGCTATTCAGTTTCCTCTTAAAAGTTACTGAGTTCTGTAAGGTTTGATCTGGACAGTGTCTTTCAATAGTTCCACAATAAAATACTTTGATATCTTTTCAAGTAAAAATTATCAACTAAATTTAAAGTTTTGGTAAATTAAAAGAAAAAGGTGTGGCTTGGTAAATCAAATTTTTCTCTTAGTATGAAAATAATATATAACTAATAAATTTTGAAAACAGAATAAATGCATTTTTTCTTCAGCTAGAGAATAATTATTCTACCTGGGCATTTATTCACGTTTAGATACAAATGATGATCATGTTGAAGATATTTCAGGAATTCAGCACTTGACAAGTGATTCAGATAGTGAAGTTTACTGTGATTCTATGGAGCAACTTGGACAAGAAGAGGTAAAAATTATATATTTCTTAAAAATTGGTAAGTTTTCAGAGTGGTATATCAGAATTTGATACATAACATATTAATACCAGATGTACATGCTGTTCATCACTTTGAAAACATATCTTTAAAATGTTTAAATACTTGTATTTTAAATTAATTATGAATTAGAAAGTATATTTAATTCCTGATAGTCAAAATTTAAATATTAAAATTCATAATATTTGTCAATATTCTGAGAGAGATGGGATGGAGAGGCAGAGTGTAAATTCCTTAATGTTAGTCCCTATGTTTAAAATATTGATTAACATTTTAAGGAAATTGAATAATTGTCAAAAAGATCTGTTTTTCACCTTGACTTTAATATGTTCAACTGAAATTTTGAGTTGAAATACTTTTTAAAATTTTAGTTAATTAAGATTCAGTATTGGAAACTAACATTTAAAAAAATGTTAAAAGTACATGAATTTTCCTCTTTGACCACTTTTTCTGATAATGGCTAGGGTGGTTTTGACAGCTGTATTTTTGTTTGGTGGTTTTAAATCCTTCCCCCACTATTCCCTACCCTTGTTCTAACACAGTTCAGTGTGTCTTATAGAAAATTATTTATTTTTTGCCTTCCTGCAGCAATGATTTTAACTTTTTCTTTTCCTGTTTTCCTTTCTAAAAAATCTTCCTAATGCAACTACATTTAATTCTTAGCTTTTTGAAATTTAAAAACACAGGAACAAAATACTTTTTCACTAAGGTCGAACACAAATAGCTAGCACAGAATAATGGTAAGAAGTCCAAATTTAGAATGAGCTCAAATTAGTGAAAAATGTAGTGATAAATTCAGATTTCCTTTTAAAAAGATTTGATTGGGGAAAGTGGGTGAAAAAGGACAGTTTGAGATTAATCTCAGTAAATATCTGACTACTAGATTGTAGGTTTGCTCCTATTTTCTCTGAACATCAGCTGATGGACTAAAGTTTGTCATGGGGCCTGAGCTGGTTCCTATTTACCTTTTGGGCCTCTGTTCACACCACTCTCTTGTTTGGGCTTTGCTCATACCCACCTTGGCCTTCTCTCTGCTCCTCTAATATGTCAAGTCCTTTCCCCTCCTCTCCTCCAACACCAGCATCTTTGCATTCATTTTGCTGGAATGTAATTGACCATTCATTGCCCCATACTCGGAGTTAACTCCTGTACATCCTGTAAACCCCAATTCAGATGTCCTTCTTTAAGGAAATTGGCTTAGATAGACTACAGCCCCACCACATTACCCATCCTAAGTCTAGGTTAATTATAGGTTGTCACCTGCAAATTTTCCAGGTGGGTTTTTCTAAACTATATTTAATCTCTATGATTAGTTTTGGAGTCCTTGAGAATCAAGAGGTTTGTCCAAGTTCTTTTTGTGGAGAACAGATATCACATTCATTTATTGTTTGCTGATTATGATTCGAACATTTTCCTTTTTTCATTTATCTCTGCTTATAAAACTACTTTAAAAATTTTTATAATTTCCTCTTGAATTTAACAGTTAAGCATGTTCCCTATCTGAAATACACACACAGAGTAAATGATGCTTTAAATTTTGTTTTTAAGGGATAGTTCTTTTTTTTTTTAAGATTTTATTTATTTATTTTCAGAGAGGGGAAGGCAGGGAGAAAAAGAGGGAGAGAAACATCAATGTGTGCTTGCCTCTCACACGACCCCCCACTGAGGACCTGGCCCACAACCCAGGCACATGCCCTGACTGGGAATGAAACCAGCGACCGTTTGGTTCGCAGGCCAGCGCTCAGTCCACTGAGCCATACCAGCCAGGGTGATACTTTTAAACTTCTTGATATACTTATCTTGTTGCAATAAAGTGTTTAGGCTGATGATGTGATGTTTAGGATTTGTTCCAGGATAAATCACTGGGGATAGGCATCGGATCATGGGCGAAATAAAGCAAGAGTGTCCCTGCAGTGGTGATTGTTGAAACAGTGATTGGTGCTCTAGTTGGTTTGAGATTTTCCTTGATAAAAAGTTTAAAAATGAGCATTATAGTTTTCTTTGGAATATTTCTTTTTTTTAATTGAAAGATTTTATTTATTTATTTTTAGAGAGGGGAAAGGAGGGAGAAAGAGAGGGAAAGAAACATCAATGTGTGGTTGCCTCTCTTGAGCCCCCCCTACTGGGGATCTGGCCTGCAACCCAGGCATGTGCCCTGACTGGGAATCGAACCAGCAACTCTTTTGTATTCGCAGGCCAGTGCTCAATCCATTGAGCCACACCAGCCAGAGCTGTGGAATATTTCTTTATCCTTCTCTTGTATTTTCTAACTTATGTTGCCTCTGTAATGTTTTTTTCTTACTTATTTTTCCTTCTTCCATGAGCATGTTGAATTTAATTATGTTCTATATACAGTTGCACCATAATTATTATTGCTCTGTAAGTCAGTTATCACTTCATAATGAGTTCCTTTTGCTGTACTTTCTTATGACTTATAGAATAATATGTTCTAAAGAGTCATTATTTATTTTTTCCTCAAGCTTCAACTGCTCTTTATCCATTGAGGTATTAGCCAATCTGCTAGTGTAATTAAAATCTTGTTTTAGTGCCTGATCTGTTGTTAATCTAAGCTCAATCTGAAATAATACTATATTTATCTATAATTTTTTATGATAGATAATCTGTAATAAATTATTTTTATAATTTTATTTTCAGGATCTTGGTAGTGGTTTTTGAATACAGTAATGGTTTGACCTTGTTTTATGTAATATTTTCTTGGTTTCTGCCCTTTCCAGAGGGCTCATGGTCTGAAAGCACTGTATGTATCCCAGTGGTTTTACTAAATTTCTGAGGCGATAGACAGGCTCATGCTTTCAAGGGCCTCATCTCACTAAACAAAATATTGCTGAAGAGAAAGTCAGTTTTTTTATTTCACAGTTTTTATTTTCTCGGTCCTGTTTAAATAAATTAAGTAACTTACTGATTCCTTCCTAAAAGGTTGAGATTTTGAAAGATCAAATTATTAGTATTTAGTGCTTTGCAGAAGCTGAAAGCAAACCATGTTCTAGAATAACCACTCAATGGAACAGATAATAGTTTGGAAGTACTGTTCTGAAAATGAAGTAAAGACTTGGAGATATGAAGTGTTTTATATATACATACATATATTTCTGATATCATTTTCAAACCAGCATAGCAGTACATAGCAGTACACAGGTGAGTTAGAAGTCTAAGGTAAAAGGATAAGAGAGAGAAACACTTTAGGTATTTTTTTCTTCCCCTTTGTTTTATACATTCTCCTTATCTATCTATCTATTCTCCTTCTCAAACTTTAATGGGGAGCTTCTTATAGCACAGATTTTGGGGCCTGAACCCCACAGTTTGTCATTTGGTAGGTCTGGGGTAGAACCCTTGCATTTCCATTTCTAAGTAGCTTTCAGTTGGTGCTGATGCTGCTGGTGATGCTACACTTTGAGTAGCATCTAAAGCATAAGAAGCTAGAGTCCTACCAGAATAGGTGATGTGAGTAGGGGATTGATACTTGTTAGTCCTATTTCACCTTTCCTTCCTTTCATCAAATAATTTCGTTTACTCTTTCACAGAGAAGATAGACACTGTTAGGTTGTTACTCCTTCAACATTACACCTGGACACTTACTTCTTTGACTTACTGTAAGCTATACCCATTCAGACCTTGCTACCTTTCTTCCCACCTCAATGGAAGACCTTCTTCCCATCTAAAGCCAGTTTCTCTAATGTGTATCTTATTTACTCCCACCTCTTTGGAGATGTTCATTTTTTACACCCTCTAGGCTGTTCCCAGCTATTGTCCCTCTTCTGGTGCTTTCTTCTCAAGCTATTCATATTCCTTCCATCTTTAAAACAAAATACTTTCTAAACCATCTGATGCCCTCCATCCCTTTATGGCCAACCTTTCTTTTGGTCATGTTCATTCATAGTCTTGATTCACTTCAGATACTTGCCAACATGCCTTTGTTGCTCATTCGAACGGATCAAAGGATTTCCTATCTCACTTAAGTATCATTAAACAACATTGCCACTCTCTCCTTCAAAATATTTATTTCCTTGGCTTCCATTACACTATTTTTAATGGTTTTTCTATCTTTCTTCTCTTTCCTTCTCTTCCCTCCCTCCCTCCCCTTAGCTTTCCTCTGTGAGTTTCTCTTCCTCTTGTTTGACCCCTTAAATTTGGTATCTATCCCTAATTATTACTACCTTGGTTTCAACTATCATTTACATGCTAATGACTCAAAGTGATATCTCCAACCTATATCTCTCCTGAATTCTGGCTGCTCTATTAGACATCTTGCCTAGGAACCTCAACTTTTTTCTTATTTATAACACTACCATTTTCTCTGTTTGTCCACTGAAACCACCTTATCTTATTATTTTCTATCTTGATGAGTATCACAAAATCATCTAGTCATTTTCATTACTCTAAACATTCAGTCTTCAAGTCCTATAGACTGTATAATCTCAAAAGTTCTCAAATCATCCTCTATCTCACTACTACTTTATTGGTATGTGCTGTCATCATTACCATGTCTTTGAATTGGCTTATAATAATCTATTCTTCAAGTTTAGTTCATATCATTTCTTCCAGGAAGGCTGTCTTGACCAAGCCTCTACCCAACTCCAATATGAATTAGACACTTCACCTGTGAGCTCCTATAGTACCCTTTGTACATCCTTTTTTTTTTTTTTAAGATTTTATTTATTTATCATTAGAGGAGAAGGGAAGGAGAGAGGGGGAGAGAAACATCAATGTATGGTTGCCTTTCGTGCGTCCCCTGCTGGGAACCGGCCTGCAACCCAGGCATGTGCCCTGACTGGGAATCGAACTGCGATTGTCTGGTTCGGAGGCCCGCGCTCAATCCACTGAGCTACACCAGCCAGGGCTATGTACATTCTTTTCATAACACTTACCAAACTGTGTTGTAATAATTTTCTGTCCTTTGCTAAAACTAGAAGCCTCTGGCATACAGATACTTTTTCTTTTTTCATATTTATCTTTAGAGTTTAACATAGTAACTAGGATAAAAGTAGCACATTTAAATGTTTCTTGGATGGATGAATGACCCATGAGAACAATTCACTGGCATAACATCTCAATTCTTGGCTCATGGACAGTTCATTTGTGTCTCATTTCCCCCCTACATATAGGAGGCAGAATATGAGTTGAAGAAAAATTTTTTGAAAAATAATATTTATAATAACATGAAAAAACATTTTATAAAAACAGTAATAAATCTATTAGCAAGAAAACTTTGTGGTGTATAATTTGTGTTTATAGCTTTTAACTACCCGTTTTACATTTATAGTCTTTAGATAGCTTTACATCAAACAGTGGATCATGTCAATATTACTTGGGTGGCGATCCCAATAAGCCCTTGGAAAATCCTGGTTTTCCTGGAGATGTTCAAAGTTCTCCTGGAAATGGCAACATTGGGGAGATGCGGATGGTAGCGGTCGAAGGAAAAGGGGAAGTGAAACATGGAGGAGAAGATGGCAGAAGTAACAGTGGAGCGCCGCACCGTGAGAAACGCAGTGCGGAAAGTGAGGAATTATCTAATGTCAGAAGAGGGAGAGGTATGTATTACTTTTAAGATTTTTATTTATTGTTTTTAGAGAGGGAAAGGGAGGGAGAAAGAGGGAGAGAAACATTGATGTGAGAGAGAAACATCAATAGGTTGCCTCTCGTACTCCCCAATCTGGGGATGGAACTCACAACCCAGGCATGTGGCCCAACTGGGAATTGACCCAGGTGACCTTTCACGTGCAGGAGAATGCCCAACCAACTGAGCCACGCCGGTCAGGGCTCTTTTTTGTTTTTGTTGACTGTCTTTATAAACTAATTAGTGAAATGGGAAGTTCTAGATAGGAGAGCCACTAAAACTGTCAGTCTACGAAGGGAGTGTAAAAATTCTCTGTATGTAACGTCTGACCATTTTTCTTTATGTCTAGTTATCTTTTCTGATTCTACAGGTCATAATAGTATGTTCTCAAAAGGAGTAGGGGAAAACATTTCTATTTTTACATATTTTATGCAATTTTTTTGAAGTAGCCAACTTTGTATTTTATTACTGTCTTGAACAATCACTTACCAGTTGCTCCAACTGTGCTGATGCTTACTTTACTTACTTTTGGTAAAAGTTAGAACTTTTTTTGCTTTTTTTCACATTTTCCCACTTAGGTCAAAAGACATTATTTAAAGTTGAAAAATTATGTAATAGAGATAAAAGAACATTTAACAATTCAAAGGTAAACATTAAGAGTAGTAATGTGATGAAGTAATAGAAGTTGAGTGGGGAAGAAAAGTAAATAATTTATAATTGTAGTAAGAAATGAATAGATATTGTAAAAAAAAGAATTAATGGAAAGACAAATGCCATATGATCTCACTGATGTAGAATCTAAAAAAAAAAATACAGGGAACAGATTGGTGGTTCCCACAGGCAGAAAGAGGCAGGGGTCTTGAGGTGAGTGAAATAGGTGAAGGTACTCAAAAAGTACAAACTCGTAATTATAAAATAAGTAGTCATGGAGATGTAATGTACAACACTGTGGCTACAGTTAATGATATTTTACTGTATATTTGAGAGTTACTAAAGACAATAGGTCCTAAAAGTTCTATCATAAGAAAAAAAATCTGTGTCTGGTGACAGATGTTAACTAGACTTACTATGGTGATCATTTCTCAATATATAGAAATATCCCCCCCCAAAAAGAAAATCCCTGTTTAACTTCATGAGGTCATAAAAAGTTAAAGGATTATCTATGGATGTGGTTGAAAAAATCCATAAAATAAATGAACACATGGCTTTGGGAATGCTGCTGTTATAGGGTTCCAGGATGCTGCAGGGCAATGAGGTAGGTAATTTTCTGTTTATGGTTTAGAACAAAACAAACACAAATTACCCATTACATTAGCAAATGTAAAAACTTAAAATATTTCATTTCTGCATCCATACAGTAAAGAGGTAGAACCTTTTATATACTGCAGATAGAACTGTGTCAGCCTTTTTGAAAAATAACTTGGCACCTTGGCTGGTGTGGCTCAGTGGGTTGAGCACCGGCCTGCAAACCAAAGGATTGCTGGTTCGATTCCCAGTCAGGGCACATGCCTGGGTTGCAGGCCAGGTCCCCAGTAGGGGGTACACGAGAAGCAACCACACATTGATGTTTCCCTCTCTTTCTCCTTCCCTTACCCTCTGTATAAAAATAAATAAAATCTTAAAAACAAAAAGAAAAATAACTTGGCAACCCTCATGAAAAACTTCCACAAAGTTGTTAACCTTTTGACCCAGTAATTCTTCTTCGGATCTGTTGATCCTAAAGAAATCAGCAGAAATTTGCATAAGAATTTGTATACAGTGACATCCATTTCAATGTTGTATGTAATCACAAACATTTGGAATTATCCTAACTATCAACAAGTGGATAAAGTAATTGAGTAAATTGCTTCATGTCTTACTAAGGAATTTATGCAGCCACTTCATTGTTTTTGAAATAAAATTTAGTGGTGTAGATAAATATTTTTTAATTTGTTTTTTAAATTTATTTTAATTGTTCAAGTACAATTAAACAAGGTCAATGTTTATAGTACTTTTTAAAAGTAGGATACAAAATCATGTATAATTTATGTGTAAAAAAAGAATGGATGGATATACAACAAAATTTAAAAGTAATGAGATTTCAATATGTCTATAAGGAAAACATTTTTAAAACTATTTGGAAGGCTTACAAAAGTAACAGGAAGATTTAAAATAAGAAAAGAAAGCTATTTAGTATGGATTTTATTTTTTAAAGATTTTATTTATTTTTAGAGAGAGGAGAAGGGAGGGAGGAAAACATCAATATGTGGTTGCCTCTCGCATGCCCCCACTGGGGACCCTGCCTGCAATGTAGCCATGTGCCCTGATTGGGAATTAAACTGGCAAACCTTTGGTTTGCAGGCCAGCACTCAATTCACTGAGCCACACCAGCCAGAGGGATAGTGTAGATTTTAATACTCTAAAGAAAGTCTTCAAATTTTTTCAATCTTGTTACCTTTTAGTAAAGAATTTTTGAGAATGCACACTGAATATTATTTGTGAATTATACATATTTAGTCATGTAATAGTATGTTAAGTACATTATAAAACCTTAGGAAAAAATCCAAGAATATATCATAGGAATAGAAGTGTACATATATACTCTTTGATCTCAATAATTTATTTTGTGTAGTTCCTGATTGCTTCTACTCCATTGTGGAGATTTAGATTGCAAAAAAAAATGAAAATGAATAAAACACACCATTTCTACTTTTATAGAAATAATTTACAACTAACTTATTTTGCTCTCTTAAATTAGGGCATAGGACGCAACAGTTGAGCGAAGGAACCAAGGGTCGGCAAGTGGGAAGTGGAGGTGATGGGGAACGCTGGGGTTCAGACAGAGGGGCAAGAGGCAGCCTCAATGAGCAGATTGCTCTCGTGCTCATGCGACTGCAGGAGGACATGCAGAATGTCCTGCAGAGACTTCATAAACTGGAAACACTGACGGCTTCACAGGTAAGCTTCCGAATTTGTCTTATCCTCTACTTGTTGATCCTTTAAAATAGTGTATAATCTGTATTGATCAGATTTACAGAAACCAATGTATTTTAATTGTTTTTAAAAAAATTAATAGGACCTATTTTTCAAAATATTACTCAAGAGTGACCCGGATGCTAAATTCCAGTTAAAAGAACAGAAAATATTTAGTGTAAAATTAGCTGTTCCATTTTGGAGGAAGGAGTAGGTTGCTTGATATTAGAAGAATAAGACCTCTCAAATAGTTTAATTTAAGGAACTAATAAAGATATCCAGTGCCCTAGAGTTCATCATAACAGTGAAAGGACAGCAAACTCACAGTTATTAAGAACCACACCTAAAACAAAAGCAAACGAAGAGGACAGCTAGATCAGGAGTGGAAACATAGAAATGAAGATTACATGGAGGGTTAGCTACAGAGGAATGGGAGGAGGAGAAGGGGGGAGAAGGTACAGAAAATAAGCATAAACGGTAGGTAGAAAATAGGGGGGAGGGCAAGAATAGTAGGGGAAATATAGAATCTAAAGAACTTGAGACACGTGGTTATAAACTAAACGCGGGGAATGGTGGGGGAAGGGGTGTGCAGGGTGGAGGGGAATGAAGGGGGGAAATAGAACTGTAATGGCATAATCAATAAAATATATTAAAAAAATAAAGCAAAACAAACAAAGAGTCATTCTTTTGTAGTAAACATTGTTTTTTATCTTGACTTCTTTTTAAAATGCTGTAGAGTTAATGTGTTAAGTTACTGATCCTTGAGTGTAAATTAGTTTTAGGATCAAAACTTTGAAGCTAAAGAGTAGTGTGGAGTTATAGTTTGACCTTTGCTATTATTTGACCCTGGAATGTTAAAGGCATTAAATCTTTAAAAAGGCAGTACAAGTAGACAGTTGAAGAAACTCAGGCAGAACCCAGATGTACTATATTCTAGGGCAGTGCCCTTTCTGCTATGGCATAATGCTGTTGTACTGAACAAAAGCTAGGCAGCTGAGTATGGAGGAGGTACTAAAACAAAAGGAAAAGGATTCATAGGAAGGGACAATTCACCTTGGTTCACAGTTTTGTTTGTTAGTTTTTTGTTTTAAATTTTATTTATTTGTTTTAAGAGGCGGGGGAAGGGAGGGAGAAAGAGGAGAGAACCATCAATGTGTGATTGCCTCTCACATGGCCCCCTTTGCGGGCCCAGGCATGTGCCCTGACTGGGAATTGAACTGGTGACCCTTTGGTTTACAGCCCATGCTCAGTCCACTGAGCTACACCAGCAAGGGCTTGTTTCACAGTTTTGATTGGGCTGTGATAATCCCTCGACTCAGCTGCAGAGCTTTCAAGTAGCTACTAAGCGATGTGTCCCATTTGTCCCCTGAATTGTTCTTCATTGAGTAACGTTGGTTGGAGAGGGAGGCAGCTATGATGTCTCACCTAGCTTTAAACATGGTGCAGCATCAAAGTATCTTGCTCTACCAGATGTTAAGAAGAACTTATAGGAGTTAATCAGAGAAGATGTACTTCCATTACAAGATGAACACATTAAATATAGATTTATGTAAAGAAACTAATACTGTATGCTCTCCAAACAACCTTTGTGAATATCTTACCTTTTACCTAACTTATTCAGATTATCACAAGGCTTCTCAATTATATTTATTTCAGTGACTCTCAAGTACATTTTCTGATCATTCAGATTAGGAATCTCTAGTCATTTGTGAGGCTTTGAAGACCCTAAAATAATATGCAAATTTCTGTATGGTTTTGCATTTTTGAAAAGAGAGGGTTCTTTGCCATCTGCAGATTCTCAGCAAGATTCTATAATGACAAAGAGGTTAAGAGTAGTGCCTTAAACAAATGACATCATCTTGTTTGTCCAGGTAGCTGTAGATTGTTGATATCAAACCATTCTATTTGCATCTTTCATTAATAAAAAGATTCTGCTATTGCTTATTACCTTGAGAAGTTTAGGCCCATGATCCCATCAAACTATCCCTATATTAAAACAGAATTGTTAAAGGAAGCAAAAAGCTAACCCATGTGGGCAACCTCACTGGTTAATTTATTGAACATCGTTGTTATGATAGTCTGTATTTTCTTCATCTGTGATTTAAAAAAATAATATTTTATATGTATTTAATGTCTTCAGTGGCTTTTAAATTCTCCTAAAAATTCTTTTGGTCTTTTTTTAGGAGATTTTTTTCCACTCTTGTCTTACAAAAAACGAAATTTAAAAAGATTCTGACACACTAAGGACTTTTCCCTTAAAGTTTGCATAGTTCGTGTGTGTGAATAAAATTTGCATAATTGGTTTGCATAAGTAAAAAATCAATTGATGATAGTATAGCAGTAAATTATAGAACTGAAGAAAACTTGTTTCAGTTCTAGTATTTTGGTCCAGCAGATGAAGAAGCTGCAGTACAGGAGCACATGTTAATTAGAGGCAGAGCCAGGTCTGTAAGTCAGTTCCTGATTCTTATGCAACGTATTTTGCACACAGTAAGCTGTCTGAACTATATTACTATTTTGTAAAATAGTTCCGTAGATTCATTCACTCAATAAATATTTGTTGAATAGCCACAGATCAGATACTTGTCTAGGTAACAGACACAAAAGTGGAAAGAGAGAGAGCACGGTGTGGTTGACCTTAAAGAAAACTACCTAAGTTCAAATTTTAGCTCTCCACTGTGATGTTGGGTTGGGTTATTTAACCTCTCTGTACTTCATTTTTCTTATCTGTAAAAAGAAAATATTAATGCCTACCTCGTAAGCTTGTTCAGAGGATAAAATAGAGTGTTTAGTACAGTGCCTGAAACATACCTGAAGGGGTGATGACAGCAATGCTGGTAAAACAGCAGGGTTTCTTCCCTCAGGAGGTTCACAGCCTTAGGGAGGACCTAACAAATAATTCTTTGTCTTCATATTTTCTTTGTAATGGCTACTATTATATGAGATATTTTTCTCTTCAAAATGATTTTCCAGAAAATTTAGTAATCTTTATTTTAATCTACCAATAGAATACTAGTAGAATTTCTAAATATTTGAAAGCTACATAGAAGCTCGTTGATATTAACAAAGATTTGTTGCTTGACCAAACTTTAGTCAGGCCCGAGAACCATCTCTTAGGCCCATTTATTCACTTGTTCCTTGTAAAATTGTTTTTGCAAGAACCCTGCTTAGTCAGTTTAACCAGAACTGCTTGCCTTCAGTATCTGAACAGGTTCTTTATCTTCCAAACATCACCCAGGTGATGAGATCACCTTGGCTTGTCTTTAGCAAGAATCCTGTTAGGTTGGTTTAGCTAGAATCTCCCTTACCCCTGATGTTTCCTCTGAGTAATTTTCCATCTGTTGATTACCACCCTACTTTTTGAATATAAATTCCCACTTGTCCCTGCTACATTGAAACTTGAATTTAATCTTTCTCCCCCACTGCAGTGGTCCCTATATTTATAGCAATAGACCCTGCTCCCTTGAATAAAGTCTTACAAGTGTCATTGAATTTTTTCTTTAACAGCATATATGAATAAATATCAATAAAGCCAAAAATCATAATGCTAATTATATAAGTATTTTTGGTTACTTCTTAAGTGTAAACAAGTGTCTTTGGGAATCTTAATTTGCCTTTCCAGACCATTTATTACTTAGAAAAAAAATTATTTATAAGCAGAGGTCTGTCTGGAAAAAGTCCAGCCCATGTTGATATAAAGAGAATGATTTGTGCAACATCTGTGTAACCTGGCAGCCAAGGAGAGTGGACTGGAATACGCATGTGTGAACAATGACAACTTCCCTGTACTAGTCGATGGGGGCAGTAGATGCTGTTGAGTGAACATGTGTCCTGTGTGGCTGTCGCATTCAAAATGATTGCACTAATAGAGCAACAAATCTGCATCAGATTTTGCTTTAAGGTTGAACACTCCTCTGCAGAAACTATTTGGATGATTCAGAAAGCTTTCCAGGATGAAAAAAAAAGCTTTCCAGGATGATATGAGTGCAGCATAAATAATGGTGTGGCACAAATTCTTCAAAGGTGGTTCAGAATCTGATGGAAGTGATCCATGCTCTGGAAGGTCTGCAACAAGCAGACCACCTGAGAATGTTGAATGTGTATGAGCTGCAATCAACAAAGATTGACAACTGACAGTGTGAGAACTAGAAGCTGATCTACAGATTCTACAACTACTGTGTCCAAGATTTTGATGCAGGATCTTGGCATAAACGTGTTGTGGTAAAATTCATTCTGTGACTTCTGCTACTAGAGCAGAAGGAACATCATGTTACAGTTGTTAATGACTCAATTCAAACTGCTGCTAATGAACCAGATATTCTCAAGAAGGTTATAACCAGAGATTATGAATTGTGGGTGTACAGCTAGGATCCGGGAACGAAGGCCCAGTTCTCCCAATGGAAGTCACCTGGTTGTCTACCCCCAAAGAAGACATGACAAAGTCACAGCAAGATGAAGACCATGTTAACAGTGTTTTTTGATTGGGAAGGTGTTGTCCATCACAAGTACACTCCTTCAGCCCAAACGATTTATGAGGAGTACCACCTCAATGTATTTTTTTGCATATTTCTATGCAATATGATGAAAATGGCTGCAGCTATGGGCAAACTGGCGATTCGCAGCTTTATCTTGACAATGTGCCTGCTCATGCATCATGTCTTGTGCAGAATTTTTTGTTGAAACATCAAATCACCCTGGTGACTCAGCTCCCCTACAACCCAGATTTGGTGCTCTGTGACATCTGGCTTTTCCCAAAAGTAGAATCACCTTAAAAAGGGAAGAGATTTCACACTGTTGATGAGATTCAAGAAGATAGAATGGAGAACTGTGTGAGGTCCCAAGGTTCCTACTTTGAAGGGGACTGAGGCATCATTGTCCTATCTACAATGTTTCTTGTATCTTCTTCAATAAATGTGCCTATTTTTCACAGTATCCAGCTGGATACTTTCTGGACAGACCTTGTAGTTGCATTTATTAGTTATGAT